TGGATACCGAGGAGCCGCTTGTACCAACTTCTCAAACCACGTCATTGAAACTCCACTCAGTTTTGACGTGGAGCACGGAACTGCAATGAAGTAGTTTGCTGTTACAACAAATGACCTGAAACTTACAAGAGTTGCCCTTGCACCGAGTGCTTGCTGTGGTAACTTGTGTGATGGAACGTTATCGTCGCCCGGTAAAGAGAGAACCTGCCTTTGCCCTGAAAAAAGTGGAGTAGGCTACATTGCCTTGCGAGCAAGAGTCTCTTGGTAAGAATCAGGTGGCCAGCGCACATCAAAGAAAATAATTGATATGCAGAGCGTTCGTGCTCTTGCAATATTTGCCAATGAGCCACAAAAGATAGGGACAAATTTGGCTGTCTACAATGCCTTTACTTTCAAAGAATGTGTCAACGCCAAAATCAGCGAGAATAACTATGCCCCAGGCTTTAGACTGCTGGGATGGTACAAGCCATCAAAGAACGGGGAGACATGTGCACAGAAGCTCACTCCATACACGTCTTTCAGTTGAAGGTGAACGGCGACAAAACGGATGCGAGAAAGTATGCCGCACATGTATCGGTTAACGCTGATGGAAACACCGAATAAGAGACCTCAGCAAGAAAGTACCGTCCCAGCAGTCTCCCAGACAAGTCCTCGTCAATGCGGCACTCGTGGACCCCCTTACTTCTAGAAGGTAGTCTATTTAACTTGATTGCTATGTGCCACTTTGGTAGAAGGCGGTTGCTTCATCTAAAACGAATTTTTGAAACTTTTGTGTTGTCAGGTTCCCCTGCTTCTGTTGCCAGTGTCAGAACCCCTTTTGGCTCCTCTACTTCTTCCGTATATGGTTGTGCGTGATGAAACATCTAGCCATCGACATTTGGGTTAATGCTGTATTAAATCTCGTTTGTGTTAATGCTCGTTAAAAACTTCAAGCCATCGACCTTTGTGTTAATGCTGTATTTTGCTGAAACCTTATCATGTTTAGTGATAACGCCTGTTTTTGCTCATGAAATTCTCTGTGTCAGCTCCAAAACTTTTCATCGCCGCACTTTGTGACAATTTAAATTGTTCGGAAATTTCGAGTTTCAAAAAGAAAAAAAATAGCCTTACAAACAATTTACGATTGACACTTTTTTGATAAAATTAAGCCAATTTGAAAAAAACTGGATCAAAATATTAATTTTATTTTCTGCTGGAAAATCGTAAGTGTTCAGATTTCCCAGCAGAGTAAAACTTTACCCACTTTCAACTAGAAGTCGATCACATTTTTCGTGACCTCTACACTTAAGCTTAAGGGTAGTAGTTTGCCTTCCTTTTACCGCAGGGGTAAAAATCAAGGGTCGCAAACTTGCAATTTACAGCAACTAATCAAAATTAACTGCCACCAAAGTATAACTTGCTTGAAATTTTATTCCAAAATTCTTCTAACTGAAAGCCCTTCTCATTTTCACAACTCTCGCCTCAGCCCAATTAGCCCATTTTCTGATTGTTTTCAAAAGTTATTTATTTCAGTTAAAAACATGTCTAAGCTCACACCTCGACTAGACCTAACTGATGCTCAGCAAGCCGTTCGAAAATATGCCGATGAAAACAAGCAGACATGCGATAGACCAAAATTTAAATTTTAAAGAAAGAAAAAATTCCAACACTGTTGGCCAAGTTCTTTACCAGTTAACAGTCAATTATCATATTACAATCTACTTGCTAGTCGCAAGGATAAAGAAAAAAAATTAAAACACTGAGGTGAAGCTGAGCTTTGCACTACTAGCATTAAAAAATAAAGTGCCAAAAATCAAAAGATAATATGTCTCCATTGAAAAACTTAAAGGAACTGTTGAAAAAATCGTAGGCTAAAAAATCAACAAAATCATCAATTTCATTTTACTGCAACTGATATAAGAATCATTTACCTAATACATCAGAAGGATTCGGGCTACCGTTCATTTCCTTTCATAACCAATAAATGAAACGCTCAGAAAATAATTTGGTTAAAAAATCGAGATCAAAAACTCCTGAATGTATTCAAAAACTTTGCTTAAAATGTCGCAACCAAAAAATCAGTATATTTTACAACAAAAATTGGCTAGAAACATCATTAGGAACATTTACTATTAACTGACATCAAAATGAAGGAAAAAATGAAGAAAAAAAAACTTCAAACAATTTCCACAAAAAACTTGCAAAAAGTCTAAGAAAAACTCTGAAAAATTAGGAAAAATTACCAACTATTTTAAACCAATAAAAATCAAATTGATACGCAAAGTTAAGAGAGCTAGATCCTAACAAAAAATATACAAAAAGCTCGTAAATGAATTTATAGAAAAAAAACCTTTATCATTTTTTGTACAAAAATTTCAGCCCGAAAAAAGATATATGACGATTTATAGATTTTTCGTTCATGTGGAACTCAGTAGTGTGTAATTCTGAATTCCAAATGCAAAGAATCCATGAGTCGCCACAGATCTTTGTAGAAAAATAGTCATTTGTAGAAATTGCAAAAAAATGTTAATTTTTTTCGAAAAATTTTGCCATATGAAACCAACACGCTATGTCATCAACCTGCATCAATATCAAATAAAATTGCTCAATTCTAGAACACACCAATGAAATAAAACTAAAACTAACTCCACGCACTTTAAGATAAAAAATAAATCGGAATCCTTGCAAACGAAATAATGAAATTTTTTAAATTTCTCAATACATTTCTTTTCTAACCGAAAAGTTTGGCAAGTATAAGAAACAGAAAACCGTGAACAAAATTTGAACATTGAAAATTGAGAAAAAAGTACTAGGAAAATCTACCTTAAAATTACAAAACCAAAACAACCGGCCAGTAAGCCGACAAAAATTGGGACGAAATCATTACGGAAAACATACGAACTCAAAGGTTACTAAAATTACAAGACTAAATCGAAACACAAAAAACAACTCCAATAAAAAAAAATACAGCAAAAAAACAATTCTAATATAGGGCAACAAAGCCGACAAAATATACGAAGAAAAATAATAGGCCGAGAGTTTTTTTTATAACCGTTTGAAAAAAAAGCAGGTCATGTTCAGATTCGAACCCAGGATCTGTGCGGTTCCAGACCAGGTGTGTTGGAGATTCTGGCAGATTTGAACTCATAAAAAACCAAGAGATCAAATGATTCTGTTAAACTGATTGTTAACTCGAAAAATATATATTTCTATTCGATAACGCTTGTCAATGGCAAGCGTAATAAAAAACTTATCGAAAAACAAAACAACAAAATGCAAATCAAAACAATTTTATAAATTTAATCAACTTGTCTGCCGAATTGTTTGCCGTTTTTTTGTCACGCACCGCTGAAAGATGCTTCGAAAACCATCTATCCTGGAATAAAACTAAGTTTTTTGTTAAGCACCGCAAAAGATGCTTCGAATACTATCTTTCCTGGAGTAAAACTAAATTTAAGTCTTACTTCTGTATTACAGACCTACTCGCTCGCTTAATTCGCTCAAAACAAGAGCAAATTCCAAAATTTCAAACCAGTTGTCTACACTTGAAAACTTTCGGGATTTTATAAATAGAATTCGAATCACGACTGCAAGGACTTCAATATGATATATCAGTCGATTCATTAAGTCAATATCAGTCAATAATTTGATCCTCATTTTGTTTGGAAAACAAAAATTAAATCGCACAAGCTTTGCTTAAGTATACACACCTGAACACAAAAATTGTCACAAATTTCAGTGGCCCGACCAAAAACGCAAAACTCTGCAACTGTTGTTGAATGATTTTATTTCCGAACTGAAATTATTTAAAAGCTGAACTTATTTACGAACGTCCTTCGCAAGATTTCCTCCACCTGCCCGTTTCTTTCGGAGATAACTATCGCTTTACAAAGTTACATTGGCAGCAAGAAAAGGTGGGTTAGCTCAGAAAACTTCAGTCACAGCCACCAACTTCGCATAATGATTAATGAAACTTAAAAAAAACGCGTTTGCCTGGAAACGTTCCGTCGTTTTTTATTTTATTTGGAAGGGAGGTTAGGGGTGTAGGTATGGAAGTTATTTCTACTAGCTCAAACATTCAAATATGTACAAAAAATTTTAAATTAGTAGCTTCACTTGAAAAATAAGAGCCTTAGAAAACATACCAACAGACATTTGGAAAAGAGTCAATTGCCGCAAGTAAACAGAAAAAATATGGACTTATTTTTGGAATAAAATTCAACTAACGAATTTCAAAGCGAAAATAGATAGCCTCAAAGCTCTTTGAATTTCTAGAACAATTTATGATTGACGCTTTTTGATAAAAGTTAATACAATTTGAGAAAAGTGGTTCAATGAGTAATTTTTATTTCGCTGGAAAATTCGATAAACAATTTCCACTTACGGAAACTAGAATTCGTTCACGTTTTTCGTGATATTTACACTTTTGCTATTAAATGGAGGACTTTGCCACCTTTTAACAGAGGAAATCAACTTAACTTAATAAGAATTCAAAAGTCACACCGCGAAAAGGTATCTTTCAGCCTGAACAAATTTTTACTTTTTCCTGAAAAAAAACCAACAAAAAATCTTCGAAACATTTCAAAAGTCGAAGAATTATTTGACAGCTCCTTGTATTCGGAGATCTTTGTTAGGCTGTTTCGGGGAGCTTGAAAAAATACTCGATTGAAAATCACCCTCCTTTTCGCAGAACCGGTGCTCGGAGATTATTCAACATGCTAAGACATAGTGTAAAAACGGGTTCTGATTCGTGTTTGGTCGCATTACTATTTAGAGAAAATTTAATCTCAAAAAAGTTACCAAAAAACCGCTTTTTCTCTCATATGACTCTACAGCGCTACAAAAAGTGACCGTTACACATGAAATCTGGAGATAATTAGCTTTTACAGGAACCCCATGGAGACCGAAAACTTAGGTTGGACGGCGGCTCCTGCATTATTTTCATACCAGTTTTGTAAGCTTTCCTACTATCCGAGAAAAATTCATGGTTTAGCTTCTTATTTTTACAGCAAAAAAAAATTACGAACAAAAATATATTATAATTTATCATTCATAAACAGTTAGGTTTATCAGTGAACATCAGTGAGAATTACTAAGATGACAGAATACAAACCTAAAACTTTGGATTCTACTCAGTTGTTTGATCAAAAGCTGCAGCAATTGTAGTAATTACAAATTAATACAAAATGACTCCACGTCAAATAAAAATTCTGTTACACCTTCGACTTCTAGTTAAGCATCTTTTGCGCCATTTTCGAGCCGTAGCTGATCCGAACTGAGCATTTTCCACTTTAGCTCAATTTTCCTTCTTTAAGCAGTTTCTTCTGCTTCATTCTTCTGTTTTGAAACCATATCTTGACCTGAGTCTCATTCAAGGTCAGCGAAGTAGCTATCTCGATCCTCCTAGCTCGTGTAAGATATCTATTGAAGTGAAACTCCTTTTCCAGTTCTGTCAGCTGTTTGTTTGTGAAGTTCGTCCTCCCTCCCCTGGTTTGCACTCCTGGTCCCAGGTGACATCCGCTGGCTAAGTGCGTACCAGCTGCACCCGCGTGGTATTGTGTCAGAGATGCGCTTTTGCCCCCTGAAACAAGCAAAACATTCTTCATTTTCAATTGTTTTCCCATTCGAAATTAAGATAATCTTCAATGCAGATACTCAGCCAATTTCATGCCTCCTAAATCAAACCTACTACAGTTAATGTCCTACAGACTCTTGAAAACTGAATGAGTTCGAAATTTTTTGGTTCCCAAAATCAGCCGTCCAAATCATCGCAAAACAATTTAAAACCATAGAGATTAGCAAGAAGCTTCAATATGGTCGAATTGCAAAACAAATTCAAACTTTGTGATGCATGATTCTAAATGTTACACTAAGTAAACTAAGTCATCTGCAGATCAAACCAAACATTACCCAAGTAGATCATCAGGCGTCGACGTAACTTGGATTCCAGAACAGCAGTGCGTGCACTGCATAAATTGGTCAATTACCCGACACTTAACTAATAACTGACCCAGTTATTGTGACATATTGCGATGAGAACGATCAAAAAGGAAAAAACTCAAATAATAATTAACTCAAATAATCCTAGGTTTTCGGCTAATGCATATCATTTTAGTTTTTCGCTTCATTGTTAACACTTCTATTTGCAAGAGCACAATTGAAACAAGACATTCATGCACGAAATGATAAGACAGCAGTGGGTCAAACAGGGTGGAGTCGCTTGCAAAATACTCAAACAGGGCATACGGCGAAAGCGAAGCGAAACAGATACCGAAACGAAGCCTCATTTTAAATACTAAACCAAAAGGGCTGTCTAAACTACAAGCGAAACAATGCAATCAGAAGGAGACGTTGTAGACATACGGTAACATCGTACAAGAGATCCCATCTTCTCTTAAACTCACTAACTCACTGTCCAACAAGGGCTGAACTGGTTTGCAAGGAGAGCTGTACTTTGGAGGCAAAGAGAAACAAAAAATAGGTCAAAGCGAGTGTGTAACTAATTAGTAACTTCGGGTCAACATTCACAATTGAGCTAAAAAGCCTCCTGTCTCCCGCCAGTATTTGCCAGAAGTCAAGCCACACCTTCGATTTACATGTAGTCGTCATCTTGCACGATTTCAAAACCTTTTCAAGTTTCCTAATAGCCGAAATGATAAATAGTATTAATTTGAAAAATTTAACTGTTTCTCAAAGCCGAGCTATCGAAATTACTCAAGGATGGAATTATGAAAAACTTTTTTTTCTCGAAATAATTCTATTTAGTGGCCTTAGTAGCATCGGAGCAGGCCGCTAGGTTAAAGTAAGCCTCGGTGCCCGGCTCGTCATAATTTTCTCAAGTGTGTGTTGTCTTAAGTACTAATCTAAGCTAGCTTAAGTGTGAAATAAGCATTAAAAAATAACATAGACCAACAGATAAGCCTCAATTCAGGCATTTTTTGTTTATTTGCCCCGTGCCCTTATCAACTGCAGGTAGTCATCGGAGGCGGATGACATTGGGAGAACTCCGACCGTGACGCGATTGCAATTCAAAACCACGACCTTCGTGTTAACAGCCGTGGCCTGACTATCCCAGTTTAGGCATTCGCAGAAACAAAAGCGTAGTGGCGCATTGGTAGTAATTGTCACCAGCAATCATATGATTGCGGGTTCAAAACTCACGAGCGCTGCAATTCACAAGGTGAGCTCTTATAAGACATAGCTTAATTAACCTTAATAACTCTTATAAGTCATAGCTTAATTAAACTTATATAATTAACCTCCGGGTTAGGCCTCTGGCTGATTAAATTGAAGAAAAAAAAAACGAAAAAAGACTGAAAAAATGAAAAAAAAAAGACTGGCTCTAATCATATACTTGGAGCTCTAACTTGGAGAGCATAAAGGATTATTAGCCAGGTTTCTGGGTTGGCTTTCAGAGTCATAGAAATTTGAAACATGAAAAGCCGAAGAAAGGTCAACTTTAGACATAGAACTGGTATGCATATCTAATTATGGACATCAAAATTTCAAAAGTCCGAAATATTGCTAAAACAATTTTTGAAAAAAAAGTCCCAAATTTAAGCATTTTCATTCCTCTTCCAAAAAGTTGCACTTGTGAATCAACTAACTTTCTTAACAGCGTCACGAAATGTTTTCATTTGGCATATCATATCGCCTATTGCAAATAGAATCCGATTTGAATCCAAACAAAAGTGAAACAAATACAACTTGTTATCGTTGATAGTATCACACAAAACAACCCAATACCAACAAAAGCGCCGCGAAAACCAACAAACGGTGCAAACTCAATGTATCAGTCCATTTGTGTCAAGAATGTTTTGGACGGAAGGCAAACACGAGAGCATGAAGTCAAACAGAGCAGCCAGCGGATTCTATGTGAAGTGAGATCATCATAATGTCGATTATCGAGAGCCAGGAAACTGCATTATCAAAACAAACTCAGATCAAGAAAGAAACCCCGGCCTCAAATGGTGACCCTTTCTGTTTCAGCTTCAATCCAACTAATACCCAAAGCAGGACCATCGCAGTCACAATCGATTTGAACATAGGCGACAAAGACCTAAGCGTATGTTTTAATTGGAAGAGATCCACTCATTATTCGAACTGATCAATCCGATCATTTAAACTTAGTCGCCAAGAGGCTATTAGAATAACTACCCAGACAGTTATGACTAAGGCTTAGCTTTCCAAATTTAGTTTAGACAAGCTAAGCACTTAAAATAGACCGAAATATCGAAGAGACTCATCAACTGAAAATGATTTAAATTTCAAAGTAGGACAAAAATTCCTAAGTAGGAAAAAGTTGAAATGCAGGTACAAAGGAGGAGTTGATATATGACCCACCACAACAGCTAAAAAAAATCAATATCGTGAAAATTTTGTTTAAAGTTGTACGAAGAAATTAATTTATATATTTTTTTCTAAATCCGATTGAAAAATTCTCTTGTTAACGAGCTTGTTTAAAAACATCCTGAATTAAATCATACCTTAATAGATCTAAAAAGCTTAATGATTTCTACTATTTTATTGACCTGTTTATTTCACCTGCACAATTCACTGTCTTTTATTCGCAGTCAATAAAAACACATTATAATACAACACCTAACCAGTCGCCAATTGGGATTATATAACGTGCACATCTGATTGCGTAGCAATATGATCCGAGATAGAATGAATGAACTGGGAGCATAAAAATTTGAAGCACAATAAAAGATTTGTTGGGTTCGAGATTTTTATGAGGTGTGCATTGACGCACTACTGCTTCGCGTGACGAGGGGAGAAAGGCCCAGGTGTGCGTGGAGACCGTATAGGAAGTGGCGGCGGGGGATTTATGGAGAGTTGCTCTTGGCCGGGCCAGTGGAGCGAGCAGACTGAAGCTACTGAGACGCACGCTACGCTCCACAGGGTCGAAAGAGGAGACAGTTACAGTCAAGACAGCACTTTTTGCCACACGCCGCAGATGCAATCCACCCGTACTCCGGATCAAATGAACAGAGCTCACAAAATGCAAACACGCTACCAGTTATCAGCTTCGACACAATAAAAAGAATGAGCAACCAATCGGATGAAGACATTAAATTTCGTCAGTTAACAACTGAAACTTAAAATTCTACTTGAAAAAAGGGTCTGCTCAATTTGAAGTATGACAGTGATTAGCATCTCTAAAAGGTGGAAATATTGGGAGAAAAATTAATAGATTTTGAAACTAATTTTTAAACCATCGGCACTCTCTTTCCAAAGGGCGCATTTAAAACGTATATCTGCTAAGAGCTGCACCAGGTGAAACATTACGTGAAATTAAAATCATGGGTTAGTGCGGTTTGATCATTTCGAAAACCTTTAGATTCCGAAACGTCAAACTTCATCAAAAGTTAGTTTAAAACTAAAAACTCAAAAAGTAGTGTTCTGAAATTAACCAAGTTCGAAATCTAAACAGAAGCCAGTAATACCAAGGACTAGTTCGAGAGCTAATTGATTCACTTCGAAAAACGAAACCAAAACTTTAGACTCAGAGGAGACTACAAAAAATGTTGTCACTTAAATGTACTTAAGATGATTAAGCTATAACTTCGCTGCTCGATCAAGAATCTACACATCCGTTTAACGCTTATTTTAGCAAGGTTCCGATTCACCAGCAGCTCAAAAAGTCAAATGCCGAAACATATTAGGCTGACTCAATTATAAACCTTCAGAACTTCTAAGACAAAATAATACCATGCTATCATTTTATCGCTCAACGCAGCGTTTGTTAAGGCCATGAAAAAAGGTTATAGCAGGTCGTAGAGGACGAAATTGTATATTAAAGGTATTAATGTCGTAATTCGGATATCGGAAATATATTTCAAATTAGTTCGCTGTATCGAGAAACAGGTCTGATTTTTTGTGCAACTCGATTTATATATACTGCTAGGGAAATGGGGGACTGAAAAAAAGACCAAGTCTACCCTAACTTTACAATTGCTTCAGCTTAACCATTCGATTTCTGTTGAAGTTTTGCCTTATTAACAAAGCCATTTTGAGGAAAAGTCTTTAAAAACCAAACTTTTGATGTTTTTCCAACTTTTTTCGTTTTTTTTTTCAGAAATGTTCACAATGATAACAAATAAAAGTGACCGGTATAGTCTGTGTCCTTGGTATCTACTATTTTGCTGATCTATCCCAGGTAATTAAAATAACTAAATGAACTTACATAAGTTGTGTGACTGGTTCCTTCTGATCTTCATCCAAGAGAAGGGAGGGACAGCGGCAGTTCCATTTGCAGCATGTGCCACATGATTAGCAGCAGCATTTGATATGGTCGCATTTGCCACGTGAGGGTGATGGGTCACCACCATTTCCGAGCCTAGTTTACCCTCGGATCCCAACAAGTGACCCCCCTGAATACCGAGTTTTCTAGTTTCTTGTGACCCTGGGACCGTCTTCATGTAGTCCGATTCAACCATGTGCAAGCCAGAAGGGTATCCTACAGCTTCCGGCGACGTCTCGTGGGGAATAGTTCCTGGATACATTGGATTGTTATTGCAAATATTGGCAAAGTTGGATTGTTTCATATCATCTATGTAGTCGTATACAGGGCTTGTATGTGTGTTGTACTTGGCTACTGGTGATGTCGTATGTTCCGAGTGGTTCCCGCCATGTGGAGTGGTCTGCGAACTCGAGTGTTCTTCGGGACTCATGGAAGTGGGTCCGTTTCCCGCTATATTACAGCTGACATTTATGTTTACGGCCGCAGTTGGCGCGTGTGTCTGAGAACCAGGGTTAGTACCACCTCTGGCCATGTAGTTGGACAAGACGTTAGTGGGATATGCTTGTTGTGCGTGCCCATTGTTAGCCGTGGAAGGGTAGCTGTAGTACTGAGGGTTGTTATTGGGGAAAAAATACTCGTGCAGAATTGTGTTTGAAGGGTAGAGCAGGTCCGAAGAGACGTAGGCTCCCGCGGATCCGAAGTCATAACTTGCCGATTTCGAGTAACTTTGAGGATTAGTCTCGTTTCCGGGCAAGTAATTGGAGGGCGCCGAACCGAGATTGTATGTTGAGTTGGAGTTGAGCCCATTGGTGTAAATGTTATAATTGGAGCCAGATTGGTTAGAATTGTGATAGTTTGAGTAAAATGACGGAGTCGGAGTTAGGTTGTGGTACCCGTGAGATCCAAAGTTTGAAGTTACGCTTTTAACAACTGGAGATGGAATGAAATTTGAATTCTCAATTTTGATATTCGGGTTCGATGCCGGACTACTGTAGGACAACTCGCCCAAGCAAGTGGGTTCGGCGGAGATATTTTGTCCGCACGAGGTGGGGGTGACCGAATTCGGGTTGAGCTTGGAGGAGGAGTAGGCAGAGAGGTTGTTAGCTGAGGTGTTGTTTGTGATATTAATGTTTGTATTTTGGGCGGTTTGCGTGATTGAAGAGTTTGACACGTCAATTGGGGAAATTTGGGAAGAGTAATGATTGCCAGTGCTGTTTACCAGCGATGGTGAATTGTAATCCATCTTTGTGGAAGGCAATAAATAAATCAAAGTAGGAATTTATTCCTAATGTCGACTTGTAGAGCGACAATTAGAACAAATCAATTCGAATGGTTTAATCGATTTTTGATGTAATCAATTTCAATTCGCAATCACAAACCCATTGACACTGATTGCTATTTACTCAAATACAACTTTTTAAGGACAAATGACTGAAAAGGACCGATCGCACTATTCTTACAGCCTGGACCAACCAAATCCAATAAAATTTGAGAATTATAGACAAAAATTTATTATCCAAAACAACATAACATTGATATTTTGCAACATAGATCACCTTTTAGTGTCTCATCATTTCATATCAAAGCAACATTTTCCTCAGCCAATCACATTCGCTTGATTCCTCGGCCAATCATGTTTCATATCAAGGTGCGGATTTCATCAATGCGCATCAAATGTGAGATGATATGATAATATTATATGCGCGTTGCGATATTCCGTATTCAGGCCCGATGCTATTTTACTGTTTTGCCAAGTAAGCAAAGATATTTATTTGTGTAACTTCAGAACGTTCTCAGGTATCCCTGATTTCCTGAGAGAGCGACTGCATTTCACCCTCCACAGGAATTGCAGTTCACGCTTTGAACACCCATCAAGGAACAGCCGGGTGAACGAATTTCCGGCAATACACCTTTTCGCAAGCCAATTCATCATTCTCACATTGCCACAAAACAACAAACAGCATCAACTCACTCCGATAAACAAAAACAAACATATCCCAAGTCTTAATCGACACGTTTTCATTCAAAGGGACGCTCGGAAACTTAAGCGAATATGAAGGACCACGCATCGAAGAATCAAGTCGTTTAATATTCGAGTATACATAAATTCAACCGGAAAAAAATTACGATCTGTGTGAATTCGAGTAAAATTCGTATTTAAACTAAATTGAACTCAATAAACACTTGAAACATACTGAAAGTCTCGCCAGACACTCTAAATACTACACATAATTTTTAATTTCAGTCATGGGTTCATTCCGTCTTTCCGATAGATCTTCGGAGATGACTTTGCAGATATCACGTGATCCAGTCCAGATTCAGACGACATCAATGGTAGTGTGTCACGTGATTGCATGGTCTAATCTGCTGCCAGCCCTGGAGTTAGGAAAGGATTTATTTATACTAATTGTCTGGCATCGTGTAATTCTATCAAAACAATGCTTCAAAATACCTGGTCAAAATAAGGGGGCGTAGCGATAGGCATGCGTGCCTATTAGCATGCGATAAAATAGACCGTTACCCATAAGCAAACGATTCACAATTCTTTTTGCCAGCTTTTAAAACTATTACAAAGAGCAAATTACATTTGTTAGATATCTCTTTTAATTTTAGGCTCAGTCGAAAGCTGATGTCGTTAAAAAATTTGTGGTAATTTTACTCTCAGTCGACAACTGGTGTCGTTTGAAGGATAATTTTCTGGTTTGTGAATCGACTTAAATTGAGTGAAATAGCTGTACAAAATTGCTGAAAAAATTACCCAAGCCTCAATGAACTCATGAAACTTGTGGATTTCTGAACTTCGAAGAAAATATAACATCCCATTGGAGATTTTTAAATTTTGTTTCTGATTGTCAATTTTGTCCTATAACTAACCGAATTAGCTCATTTTTCTCACTTTTAGCAAATGAACTTGAAACATAGCCAACACAAAAATGGAAAAGAGTCAATGAAAATAAACCAAAAAAATTGATTGATATTTTCTAAAGCTTTGATTTCGCAGAAAAAAATAGCGTTGAAGCACCTTTGATTTCAAGAAAATTTTAGATCAATACATTAACAATAAACTCATTCAATTAAAGAAACAGAATCAACAGGTAATTTTTTAAATTCCGCTAAGAATCTGAAAATTAAGATCCACTTTTGAACCTAACAGTCATTCAAAAGTTTTCGCGTCATTTCCACTTTTGTAAATGTCGAGCGTGATTTGCCTTTCTTCTAGCAAATGAATTTGAAATGAGCTTAAGCCATTTCTCGCAAAAAATGAGACCTACAAAAAGGTATTCTCTTTTTTCGTTTACGCTTGATCAAATAAGGTAAAACAAATCAATTTGATGAACCAAAAAAAGTTGAAACAATGAGAATATCGAGAAAAATCTTGCCTGTAGTAGTTGAAGAAGTAGGCCAGCACTAATGAGGTTGCCACTGCCACTGTGAAAAGTGGTCTTTCTCGCACGAATGAGAAGACGAAGTTAAACACCGAATGGTACTTCGACACTAAGGTCGAACCCGAATTTTTCTGTTGTTGATGTCTCGCTCTAGGTTTCGGCGCACTAAACACAATTTAAAAAATTCTTTCACTTTCTTCGAACATTTCAATTCTGCTATGAACAGATTCTGACGGCTGTCAGCAGGTATAAAGACTACAGATCAAGTACCTATCTGTGTAAAAGGAAATTACAAGATACTGCCAATATCATCATTCACTTCTCGGAATATTTGACTTCAAAAGAGAAAAATGTTTACCTGATGTCTTGGATGAGTTTGGCTCTCTTGGCGATCTTCTGTGGAGGGTATGTCTGCATGAGGTGCATGGAACTGTCAATCAGTTTCGACCAGGGCATTTGTGGGTCGTTGATTGAATCTCCGAGCAACTTGTGGATCATCGGCATCTCACATTCGCAGTCCAATACTGAATCTCTCATGTGCAGCACAACCTATTTAACACTGTATTGAACAAGACTGTATTTATTAGGATGAGTAATTCGACGGCCCATTAGCTTGCCTCGAGTGTTTGATTACAGAAAAATAAATCGAAAAATTCCCTCCACTTGAGGCAATAGTGCTGATTTAAATTATCCGGACAAAACTTACAAAACTTGAAATTTAAAACGCGCATTTTTCAAATTGGGCTAATATTAGACAAAAAATGACGAAGACAAAAACTGTCTAGAATATTAGCTAAATTAAAATAGCGCAAAATTAGGGCCCAAAAATTTAAATCAAAAGCGATCAATTTTAAGTTTTTCAGTCAATCAAAAATTACGCTAGAACTAGCAAATCAATTGCTGAAATATTCATATGAAAATGAGTTTATTATGCAGTCCAACAACGTTTAAGAAGGATATAAGATCCAAAAACTTGTGAAAAACGTTTAAAAACTTAAATCGATAATTTTTTCAAGTAAAAATGACACTTTTCGGCAATCAAACGAAAAAAAATCAATTTATCAGAAACTTGAAATCATTCCCATCGTAGTTTGTTGGGCTACATCAAAGACTACTCACTTTGATAAAAATTTGATAGCAATTGACCCAGTAGTTTTGGCGTATCTTTTGATGGTCACAAAAAAATCCAAAAAATGATTCATTTTTAGTTTGAATATTTGGCCCGATTTTTGCAAAATAAATTGCACCATATTACTTCTGCTATAAATCAAAGCATGATTTTTGAACCTCATTTTTTGTCTTAAGTCAACCCATATTGAGAAAAACTCTCTCAAATAGAAACGAAACAAGGATAGCCTGCTTCTGTGCAAGTAGCACAGAATAATCAGACCACATTCTCAGAATTTTTTTTCTTTTTTATTCTTCTTCAAATTAGTGTCTTTTTAAGCACCGTATGATGATAGACCTAAACAAACGCGTAGAAAATTAGTGAACTAGGCATAAACGCGTACAACGTCTTCAAAAAAATATGTAAACAAAAACATGAATTCTTTTTTCAAAAAATTTGTTTTTTTTTTTTATATTTTTTGCACTAAAAATTTCACATATTTTCGGAAAATTTTTTATTGCCATAAAAAACGCCAAATTAGGCTTCCAAAACTAGTTTTCCTTATAATAAAATAAAATGTTTAAGCCTAAATTTCTAATTTTTATATATAACGAAAATTTTTCTCAACACTGGGAACTTTTTGAAATTTTTTTAACGTCGTTCGAATTACGATTGAAAGGGCTCTAATATTATATGACACTCGACCGAGTCCGATGATTATTTGTGGTACCTGATTTTGCAAGGAAACAAAAGAAGAAAAAACTAAAAGACATCCGAATAGAAAGTTCCTCCCAATTTTCCAAGGTCCTCAGAACAACGGAATATGAGCACCTAAACGAAAAAAAAAAGAAAAATCGCAAGACAAAGCTATATCACTTCAAAAAACGAGAATCTTCAAAAAAATTGGGCCTACGTAACTCCATTCAATTTCCTTAATCACTTTGTCATATCACCTTAACTTTCTCTAAAAACAGGGTTGATATCAAACTTCCGCTGAGCACGAAATTTTGAAAACCGGCAAAAAAAACTGCCCCCATCAAGAATTTACTTTCATTGAAAGTAATGATACTTTAATTTAATATCATTACTTTAAACAAACCCTCAATTTCTTTAAGCTTGGCTGCCACAATTATGAATAATCTATATGACGAGTAGCTGTTGATAGATATGGTCTATATTCAAAAAATCATTAAACATGAATAGTTATTAAATCAAAAAAGAACTAACTGCAGCAGACAAGTAAACAGGCAGCAGATGGTCAGATGCAATGAACAGGTCGAAGAGTCTCAGCACCAGAGGAAGGTCATTGAGGCTGTGCGAAAACCACGTTATCACCCAGGGCAAAGCGAAAATCGTGCCCAGCTCAGCGCTATAAGGAAGAAGAACAATAACGATGAAACATAACAAAACCTACCTTAACGTCGACACAAGAATAGCCGATTGCTGTGCAAGTTCTACAGGAAGCTTCCCTCGACTATATATGGCTTTAAAGCTCTTTAGTTTTCAAGAACAATTGAAGATTAACTTTTTTGATTAACCCAGTTTAGACTGATTAACTCACAACTGGATCAATAAATAATTTTTTTTTTCGCTGGGAAAACTGAAAATTAAATTCAACTTTCAAAACTAGAAGTCGATCACTTTTTACATTATTTAAACTTAACGTAATTTACACAATAGGTCGACCTTAACACTTTCATTGTTCGATAGTGGAGGCTGCCTTCCTCTTAACAAGGGAAATGAAGAAAAGAACTCAAAAGTCAAACCAACATCAAAACAAAAAAACTATCAAGACCTATATAAGAGTATACACTGTATTCATGACTCTTGAAAACTGTTTTTTTTTTCAGTTTCAGTCTTTTTTTGGGTAGGGAGGGGTGGGGTTTAACATACATATATTTTTAAGTTGTAAAGAAAGAAAAAACTGTAGACAAACTGTTGACAAAGAAAAACTGAAAAAAATTTCTTGTAACTTCATAATTTTTCATAATCTATCACAATTGAATATCATTCGACCCCATCTGCTGATTATTTGTGCCACCTGAACTTTCCCGAAAAACACCAAACTATCTGAGTCAATAATGTTTCAATTAAACAAATGCTGAACAATCGGAGCAAAAGTGTACAATATTTGCTAAAAAAAAAAAAATGATATTTGTAAAATGAAATAAAAAAACTCCACTCGACAATCCAGTTTTTTTTTAAATTTCATTTTCACCCCTCAAGAAGCCAGTTGAGAGACTCCAAAACTTTCACTTCCAACAAGTGATAGTGATTCACATGTTCTCTAACTATTCTACAGTATTTTACGAAAAAAAAATCTAGATTCTCAAAATCAAAAAAACATCCAGCAACAATTTAAGAGGTGAATCGAAGCTTTAAATTGGTTGAATCTCCTAATATCTAAAACTGCTTATTTTGATCTCTGAAACATTATTTCATTAGCTGGACAACCATAGCTTCATTAGCTTTAGAACCATTAACTTAAGTTTTTCTTTTTTTTTCAGTGAGCTACAGCAGATTTCACTCAAATATTCGGGAAAAATCACCTTACTGCGAAAGGGACGGCATAATGCATGTCAACTAAACCGTTTACAACAGAAACAAAACTTATAAAAAATTAGGACAATTTTAAGGTGCCAAAAGGGGTATAAGTCAGGTTAGTTAGTAAGTTATTTTATACCCTCATTTTCACTTTTTCTGCTCAGTTTTGTATTTCACTCTTATTAGTTCAAAGATTCACAAGATGGAGTGTTCCGCTCCGATAAAACACGAAACAAGCTAGCGACGAGTTTTTCGTCAATCATAATAGTAAATTAGAGTTTTGTTTTTCAAACACGTACACACACCAATTAACTATCGGTAGTCGGAAGCAAAGATCGGAAAATCTCGGAAACTTTGTGAAAGACAATACCCAAGAATAAGCTACTTCAAAAACCCTTCCTGTCAAGATTTTTGAAATTCCACCACTATGCTTTAAAGGGTGGCCAGTCAATAAGCAGAATGGTCCAAGAGCAGAAAAACTAAAGAATGTCAACTTTTTTAAGCTAATTGGTAAATTAATTATCAGAAATGTCAATAATACCAAAGCAACGAACATTTTATGCATAACTTGGGTAATTTAATCAAGATTTTAAAAAAAAAATAATCAAAATTTAATGAAATTATTCAATTCATGCATAATTTATTCATTTTCTTGGTATTTTTTGAAGATTCTAATAATTGTTTTATCAATTAGCCCGAATAAACCAACTTAAGTCAATATTTTTCTGTTTTTCTGCTCTTGGACCCATTCTGCTCTTAGACCATTCTGCTTATTGCTTCGCCTCCGCTTTAAAGGCCTGTGAAGCAATATTTATTCCAGATCTGGTCAGACTGAACATATTCTAAGCATCATTAATAATCCAATTAAAAAATTTCGAATTATCGTTGTTCAAGCAAAAAACTTTACAGAAAACCATTTGTCGAAAACTATTAACTTAACCTCTAAGTTGGCTTAATTTTTAACATCTTAAGGCACTCTATGGCCCAATTGCGACAAATTAAAATGTTACAACTTTGTTTTACCTCATCAAATAGTCGAACAGCTTTTTGTCCTCCTTTTCGAAGACAGCATACATGAGATAAAGCACATCGTTGGTCTCCTTCATCGTCTTTGACATGAAAACCCTGGAAGATACATGAAAATTCAACAGGAGCATCCATTTTACTTGCTAGAAGCACAACAGTAGCCCACAATTTCACAACCATTTTATATTAAAACCTTGTATGGAGTGTCACACAAAGAAGTTTCACTAATATCAGTAATCTAGAAAATCCTAGATCCGCCCCTGATAACACTCTAATGAAGAATTTTTACTTTATCAGAGTACTACCAGGGGCGGATCTAGGATTTTCTCGAGGGGGGGGGGGGGCGAATTTTCAAAAAAATGTCTTAAATTTGTCGACCTTTTTTTTAGGTCGACCAAATTGATTTTCTGGAGCTCTCCTAAATCACTATAAAGACCCCATTTTGACCAAAATTTCTGCGCCGCAGACAAATTTATGAAAAAACAAGCCAAAAAAGGCGTTTTTAGGCATTTTTGGGAAAAATTTGAAAAAAAAATCGTTTTTTCGGCGCGCACTTCCCCCCCCCCCTCCTCAAAATTACTGTTTTGGCGCCAAAGGCGCCTTTAGAAAACATTTAGGGTCAGTCAGCCAAAAATGGATATTTCAAAATAGTAAAAAGGGGGGCCCTTTGGGTCGGCAGGTGGTCGAATCCCTGAGGGGGGAGGAAGCGTCCCCCCCCCCCCAAATCCGCTGGTGAGTATTATGAAGAATTATGGTGAGTATTATGAAGAATTATAGTTGACTGAAAAACCTAATCATTCAATTCTTTTTTGAAGAATTATAGCAAATAATATCAGAATTTCTGCAGCCTAACCTGAGATGTGATTGCACTAGCTTGCAAGCCACAGCAAAAGTCAGTTCTTTTCCTAGCACCATGAGAAATGTCACCAGCACATCGTGAAAACCCTACAACAAATCACTTTTCATCACTCAATTTTTCAAGTTTGCTCTTCCAAGAAAATATTTTTTTCTCACTGAAAAAAGAACGATATCAGCCGCGACTAGTTCGTTCAACCTAACTTCAATTTTGTATGGTCAAATTTCACTTCTTAAAAGCTTTGAAAAGCGTAGCAATTATTAAACTATTAAAAGATCGACAAATTTTTTGGCTGCGCTCCTCATTGATCAGTGTTTTCCAATTCATACAGCCATCTGAACTCAAACGCCATTAATTTGAAGCCACCAGTTTCTTTTTCTTATTTTTCTGCGACACCCACCTGGTAATAGTGAAGCTCAGTATCTGTGTCCAGGATTTTCAAGATAACCTCAATAAGGTCGTCCATGTATTTCTCAACAACCGATCCCTCCGTCTGAATACCTGCAAAGACACTTCATCACATAATAGTCCTAAGACATTTCTTATTATTCTAGAATTAACCAAAACCCAATAAATTTAGTCACTCACTTGGAGGAAAGCGTTTGAGCGAACGACTGACATCTACGTAGACTTGGTAATAGTCTTTATGTCTCTCGATTTCCTCTTTGGCTGAAATCAAATCCCAATTGCTTCAATTTTAAGCAACTTTAACACGTGCGAAGTGGAGCTTCGTACCACTTGCGATACAACATAAACAAAAAACATTAGGAGTAAAAAAAGAAAAAACTAAGTCTATCAATTTTCATATAATTTAAAAATATAAATTTCAAGTCCCGCCTAAAACTAGAATGAAAAACACACAAAAAGGAAAGTGAAAGAGGTGCTTAAAACACAAAAAAAATCAGTGATGTGGCAACTAAGCCGACAATATTTGAACAGACACCAACTGACCCCAAAAACGATTGTATGAAAAAAAATTAAACTCTTTCAAGTCCCACTGAAAATAAAAAATTACACTTGCATATGCAACTGCAATGCAAATGCTTTACGCACTAGCAAAATCCGCTATGTGGCAATTTAGTCGACAAAACTTGAGCAGACAAACGGAAACCCGACAAATCAATTTTTCTCGGAATTTTCTTTTTTCAATTTTATAGATGCTGAAAAAAAAAACAAAGTCCGGCCAGGACTCGAACCCTGACCAGGACTCGAAGAGAAAAGAAGAAAAGTGAAAAGAATGAAAAGGAAAATTTTTACGGGAAAAAAGTCTTAGTTCCCGATTAGAAGACACTTGCTCTCGCAAGTGTAAAGAAAAAACTGTTACTAGTTTTAAAGAAGACAATCAGTCATATTCACAGTAACTAAACCACCTACTATATTTGTCAGCAACGCAAATCTACACGCTACCGCTGGATTGTTTATGATGCGGTAAGAAAATAAGCATGGAGCAATAAAATTCCCATCAACCTAGCTTAGAATTGAATAAAAACGACCTACTCAGGGATTCATAGTCTTTCGTCAAGGCTTCCTTGTCTGAGTCGCCTAGTATCAGAAATGGCCAGAACTTCTCTCTGAATCTGTTTTCAACCAGTCCCCCACAGGAGCAACAACACCTGGTGACACCCTCCTTCACTTCAATTGAGTCAATCTCGCCCCCTAACTTGTCCAACAATGCTCTCTTCTCTGTCGATTCTGTGCCTTCTCATCCGGGATGACCAATACATTTCACAAATGCAGATTTCTTAGATATTTATTTACGACAGCGATTTTTGTCTGACCAGACCTCAACACCTGAAGGTGCCTAGCCTATATATACTTATTTTGATTTTAAAAAAATTTTTTGGTATAAAATCTATAGTGCTCAAAAACACTCATTTTATCTAAACACCGTCTTTTGCGCAAAAAAAATTTGCCAAATATGGTCATATTCAATTTTCGGTCTTAACAAAGCTGGACAAAGTTTTCGAGAACACCACCTCGACAAAAATTCCTTAGCACGCCACTTTGCAAATCATACCAAAACTCAATGGGAAATAATTTTAATTTTCTGCTTATAAAAATCAAAACTTGTGAGTTAAAAAGCTGAATCTAATAGACCATAAAAGCCAACAAAAAAAACTTTGATTTGTGTTTGGAACATTTGGTCACCCGTATCCACGGTCAAGTCATTAAGGAGTTCGCCATCTTCATTATGCGTAACTCGGTCATCTCCATTGCATTTATTGACCTCGGACGAAACAGTCATGTCATGAGTTGTTTTTCAGAGATAGCTGCCAGTCCAGAGCCTCTTTTTCACTTTTCTTTCAAATTATCAATACTAAATATTACACATGCCGTGCGATGGCATCTGAAAAAAAAGGAAGATAACTGCATTGAAATTTGGTTTCAAACTAAAGTATCTCAATTATTTCAACCGCCATCGTTCACTAGAGAAGCATTAGCAAAGTGGTCGAATTACACTTTTTTGGACTGCACAATAGATAAGGCCTCCTACTGAGCGTTTCCTCTTTTCTGATTATGTTAATTAAAGACGTATTAGATCTCCAATAGCGGTATCTTTAAAAATCGTTCATCCAATAATAGATTTCAAAAAATCGGGTGTACTTTTTTCGTAGGTTATAAATCAAATTCGGAACGAAAAATCAACGTATAAACACCTAGAAATCAAAAACAACTCAACTAAATTGCAAGCTTGATAAATTTTTCGACAGGTTACGTTCTGCAATCGAGCTAATCTGTTAAAACTATCACCTTGACCAATTTTTCCTTCATCTTTCAGAACTTTCAAAGGTCCATTTAACTTTGACATCTACCTGTGCAAGAGCGGTGGATCATAAATCAGTCAGGTTATACAGGTGTCTTATTACGCACAAGTTCCGGACTGAAATCAAACAAATATTCTCTTCATTTCGTAACTTCCTCGGCGAATATTACTTCTTTAGTATTAAAAAAGAACACGAAAACAATTCAAAGTATTTAGAAAAAGAGGACAGATTCGGATTTAGCTTTCAGAGGGGTCGTAATACAGCTGAAAAGGTAGCATACGGCGGAAATTGGAATTTGTGTGTTACAGACGATGGGCCAAGGGAGGGAAGGGATATAAAAAGTTATGAATAAATTTCACTCTGTACTGTTCAATCAATGCCCAGATTAGAGGTGCGTGTGGAAATTAGATTAAAAATTGTAGCCTAGAGAAACTGTTGTCCAAATTTATGGCTGTCTCCCATGTCATATTTTGAGAATTATACTCCCTCCGAGGCCTGCCCGCTCTCCACTTAATTTCTACAGAACTACTGCTGTGGTTAAACTGGTGCCACTGTAATCACAATGGCATTTTAATGACATTGAGTGATGTTAATACTCCTAGAATATACCAGGAGTTTCAACATCTATTAAACTGAGAATACGAAAAAGAATATAAATATTACGCTTATATAAACTTATATATAAGCTAATATACGTTTATTTCATCATTCAAGCTGAATCAGTTTTTAAAAACTGACCGCTGTTCAGAAAACTTTGGGAGTCGAACGAAACTTAAAATTGCTGTATGCACCACAAGAGAAAAAAAATCAAAAACCGGGAAGCCCTCCATCAAGATTATCCTTAAATAGTCTAAAATTAACGAAAAAAATTGAGAAGTACCAAAGGAGAGGCTGGCCTAAAAAGACGCTACTTAGTGACAAATTTCAATAGGGGAAAACTTTTTCAAGCTACAGCGGATGAATAGATAAATTAACAACTTTCAAAATAGCTCTGCTTTCTCGATTAATAAATTAAGTATTGTCATTCGCTAACTACGTCCCAATTATTAAACCCAGGACTGAACTGTGCGAACAAACCGTTAGGCGGTGCTGAATAACACCTGAGCTAGTTAAAGTCCTCAGCAGTAGCAGAGAGAAAAGATTGCTGAGGAATGGGAAAGGGGCAATCCCACCGGATTAAATACTTTTCACATGATCTTAATTTGAGTGCATTTTAAACCAGCTAACTGTATCGACGCAGAGAACATCTGATCCAGTTTGCCCACTCACGGCTCAAATTTTAAGGAGCTCTTAGATATGGAATCTTTTGCAAAAATTGACAAATCTGTCATAAAATTCGTTCAAAAAACTATGTTTACTCAAAAACCGAACTTTTCTCCGAGAGCATAACTTTAACACGCGATTTCAGGTTTATGAAATGAGTGTTGCTTATGAGATTTGGAAAAGAAACTTTATAATCCGTTTTGGATTTTGGTCTTTTGTTCGGATCTCTTCAACTAATCTCCCTTCTTTGTACTGCCATATCGATATCAATTTCAAAAAATTTCAGGTACCATCATAGATTCTGTTAAGTTGTTAAATTGAAAAGTCTATATTCCCACTTGATAACACTTGCTAATCATCTGTGAAAATGTACTTCACAAATGAATTTTTTTTAACACCCTCCAAAAACTTTTTTAGCACGTTTTAACTCGAAGCCAAATCTACAAAAATGTAAATTGGTCAAGAATGTGATGTTAAAAATGAGAAAATGACGGCCAGAAACACAATGACCGGTGCAACTAAGTTTTCAGAAAGTTATCATTTATCAGGCGGCAAATAAATCGACAAAACTTTGGTAAACACCCATTTTGACCCCCCAACCTCCGAAAATACACCTGAACCTAAAATCTATTTTCCCCATCTAACGACGCAAAATGAGGCCACTAAACCGATACAATGTAAACTAAACAATTGAGATAAAAAAAAAGACTTAAAAGCAAAAAAAAAACAATTAAAATTCAGATTAAGTAAATGACGGCAAATAAATCGACAAAACTTTGGTAAACACCCATTTTGACCCCCCAACCTCCGAAAATACACCTGAACCTAAAATCTATTTTCCCCATCTAACGACGCAAAATGAGGCCACTAAACCGATACAATGTAAACTAAACAATTGAGATAAAAAAAAAGACTTAAAAGCAAAAAAAAAAACAATTAAAATTCAGATTAAGTAAATTTACTATTTAATTTTTAAAATCTACCTAAAATTTTCACAAAGAGTCGAAGCGGGGCTTCGCGTCACTTGCGATGTCACATAAATAACATTCCAAGCAAGCAGACAGTAAAGAAAAGGAAGAAAATAAGTCCAAAAAAACGGAAAAGGAAGCAAATAAGTCCAAAAAAACTGAAAAAGAATCGACAACTAAAAAAATTTCAAAATAGTGTCTGGAATTGTGTTTTATTTGCGGAAAATACGTCCAGAAACACATTCAACGTCGTTTAATGAAAATTCAAAAACAATTTTTGAGCGAAAAAGTTTGAACAATAAATTCTATTGAGATTTTTAACCTTTCCATATTTTGTATGCTTTCCAGTGGATCGTACAAGAAAGCATACAACATATGGTTTCCTCGAAAGACTCAAAATTAAGTTAGTCAGGCAATGGAATATAAACAGAAATCATTTAGCTCAAAAAATTTTTGAAGCAAAAAAAATTTTAAAAAAGGAAATAATACGAAGTCAAGGTCAGTAAAATTACAAGTTGCAGTAGTAAATGAAAACACAAAAAGCAACTACTATGAAAACTGCATAAAGCAATTTTTTTAAATTGAGTGAAACTAGGTATTCACGGCTTAATTAAGCCTTAGTAAGCTATTGTAAGCCTGCACGCTGAACGTTGACCTTACAAGCTCGAAATTACAGCAAAAAGCAGAAACTTCAAATCTGTTTTTTATAATGTTTTAAAAGATTTTAAAAATTTGAAAAAATGAGACAAATAACCAGAGAAAAATAACCAGACATAACCTGACCGAAATCCAAAAGAAAACTTTCTGAGTCCCAAGAAAAGACGTCATCTTTGGACAACAAGGCGCAGAAAACATCATTCGATTTTTTTTTCAAGTAGCATCTCACGTGCAAATTCTGTCTAAACGTAAACAATTGAACCATTTCAATCTCTTTATGTACGTAATTGGGCTCTTTGCTCTGGACTTACATGCTTTACTCGGTCTAACTTGGTCTTTGAAATAAAAATATCAAACCGGTTTTGCTCCACTGGCGACAATTTTTAAACCCCCCGCGATAGGACTTTTATGTGATATATCACTCAGATACATCTGGCAATAGTTAGTGGAAATTGTTTTTGCATGAAAAAAAAAACAAGAAACGAAATCGCCGCCCACAATAGATGAACACAAATTGAGCTAGATACAAATGGCCGGCTTTTCCTCACGGTTGCACGAAGCTGGTGGGTAAGAGCTCGACCACAGTTATACTATGGAAAACACTTTCTCTTGAAAGCGTTACTAGAAAAAAAAACGAGACGCCATTGTATTACAGCCCTTCTACTTGTGCTCATGCAAAAGTGTGATTCCGATAATCAAATTGATTTAATAATGCATCCACAAAACGATTACAATTTGCCATATTGCTTCGCATCACAGTGGTACCAATTTAAATATCGAAAACAAGCCATCAAATACGGTGCTGGTTATATGTTAGCCTAAGTCAGCGACTGCATAAAATGTTTGAAACTGCGATCTTCAACCAAGTTAAAAAGGATACAAAACTTCTCACAAAAGCAACACTAAGTTGTACACGCGGCCTGTAAACAGTTGCACATAAAATAGGTGAAGATCAATTGTCGAGGACATATAAGAATACAATTGAATCGGCATCCAAACAACTATGAGAAATATTTACAATAACTTCTTCTACTGCAGAATTATTTTTTTTCAAGGAGCAGATTATGCCGTGGTCTCATTGTTTGCAGACGCTTCAGTTGCGTTCTTCGCTGCATCTGACTTGTCGCACTCCGATGAACTCATCAGAACTGTTAGAGCCCCACCGACTATTAAAGCCAGCCAGGATAGCCAGAACACGACCAGAAGAATTATCCGAAGAGTTCTCCACAGAGGCTTGTTCGACTCTTCCATCACCTCTTTGCGACCAAGCCCGAAAAACAGGGCATCTTCAGCCGGCTAAAACCAAACTCCAGGAATCCTCAAGTATCCAAACACGGTTATTTACAGAAAAACAAAAAAAACTTACTTCGTCGCCAGTTCCCAGCTTTTCGAAAGCTTCTTGCTTGTCTTCTAATGTCTTTTCAGTCATTTTTTATTATGCAAGAAATAACAAAATCCGCAGAGCGATGAGAATGACAAGCTTATCTGAAAGTATATTCAGGTTCTTTAAATTTGACTAATAGATAGAATAGACCATCAAAGGCAAGAACAAGTTAATACAGTATCACCAGCGCTCAGCGTTATAGACAAAC